CCAACAAAACATTCACTAAAAGGTCAGCGACTCACCATTTGATCTACTTTTTTCTTTTCAAACATGAAAAATGTAAACGGATTTCGTTGCTCAATGTGCAAATCTCATTCCGCTAGATTAAAAAAAAACACCATATCCCTCCTATGAGAGTGTTATTCATCCTACCGTACTGTCTTCACCCAAAAAGAACGCCTGGTAATTTTTGTCGCATCTGGACAGCAAGTTGCATCAAATACAACTACATAATAATCGGGTGTTGTATTCAGGTGAAGATAGTAGTGAGTGATAGAGAATACATGATTCTAATCGGCTGGTTCACTTGCCGCCCAGTTTCAAAGAACCTCTGAACCCTCAAAGCTGCTATGGTCCAGTTGCTGAAACCATGGCTGTTGCGATCCAGTCGTTGAAACTAGTCATCCAATCATTGAAACCATGGTTGCTGCAGTTCAGTCGTTAGTCGCTGAAACCACGCCTGTTGTGGGCCAGTCGCTGAAATCAGTGGTCCAGGCGCCGCATTATATGGTCCCGTCACTGAAGCCACGGCTGTTGAGGTCTAATGGTTGGAACAATGAATGTAATTCAGGGAGCAACTTGGAAGCCCGACACTAGACATTAAATGCTGACAGGCGCTTCCTCACAATAAAATGGCACCCCCCCTTCCTTATTTTCTGCCAGTCCTTAGCCTCACGATAAAATGACATCATCCATGAATCAATGTCAGCGAATACGTCCTGAGGAAGTATTATAATGCAAAGGAACCACAAAACACTCACAACACTACTCTCTCTCTAACCACAAAAACACTCGCAACATTTTTTATTTTTTTTCTCTCTTTCTCTCTTGCTCGCGCGCACGCACCGGCGGACATGCTCACGCTCATTTCGAGCTTAACATACACCCTCCTTTACTCCTTTCAGCGGAACCTTAACCGCACGAAACTCAAAGGAAAAAAAAAAACGAACGAAAATAAGGAAAACATCACAAAAGAAAATATAAATGAAAGAGGAACGAAGATCATGGAGGAAAAAAAATAAAAAACAGAAAATGAAATTCGGAGAAACAAAAGCAATATGTGTGTGTGTGTGTGTGTGTGTGTGTGTGTGTGTGTGTGTGTGTGTGTGTGTGTGTGTGTGTGTGTCTATCTGTGTGTGTGTGTATCTCACATATACATATGTGAAATATATCATAGAGACCTGTCCGGTGAACCGTAGGCAGCCAAGGAGAAAAGGACAATAAATGAGGGGTTGTGACAGACTGTTTTGTGGACCTTCAGCCACTCATCAGGAAACTAGACCCTCTATAGTCTTCCCTAACCAAAGATACTATACTCCATTCACGATTAAGCATCAAAGACTGACCCACAACTAATATCTTTTTCAAATTTGCTTAGGGAGCGCTTAACTCTAGGTCAATATCACTCACTCCAGCGAGCGCTCATTCTTTGTCCACATCTCGCGGGCCTTTCCGACCACATTTCCCCCTTTGCCTCTCCACACCTCGCTCGTATGACCTCCTCTACCTCTCTCGCCCTCTTTTGGCTCTCTCTACCTGCATTTTTTTATTTTTTTCTCTCTCTTTGTCTCTCTCTTACGCCACCCTTTTAAGTTCCTTAACTCCCCCTAATTTCATCAAAATGCAATCGTGGCGACCAGCAATGCCAGGGAGAGGAGAGACCGTACAATACAATATGAAATAGTAAAGTATATAAACCCTTGGTCTATAAACTTACGTTCGTTGATGTTCAGGTCCATAAACTCACTGTGTGTGCGTGCTTGCTTGCATGAGTATGTGTGTGTGAGGCCGTGCTCGTGATTGTTTGCATGCGAAAAAACAAATTTGAAGAAGACCAAGTTATTGTTTTCTCCCTCTCTCTCTCTATGTGTGTGTGTGTGTGTGTGTGTGTGTGTGTGTGTGTGTGTGTGTGTGTGTGTGTGTGTGTGTGTGTGTGTGTGTGTGTGCGTGTATCCTTGTGCAGTCGTACATGTCCACGCCGTAACGGTGCGCGAGTGGATTGTGGATTGGGTGGGGCACGAGAGTGTGCATGAGTATATGCGAGCACGCGAGGGTAGATTTGTGTGCGTGTGCTTGGCCGCACGAGCTTAGATTTTCGTGCGTTTGTGTATGGGCGGATATGTGAGAGTGTGAGTACCAGCGTGAGAGTTCGTGAGTGCAGGCGTCAATCGTTCCTCTCTCCTCCGTTTCCCTCCGGCCTTCTTTACAACTACATGCACCAGTCATCCCTTTATCCCACACAATTGTCCTTGGCCCTCTGCGTACACACAAATCGAGAAATGGGGGCTTCTTCCCCCAACAGATGCACAGAGAGGGAGAACCAAAGGATGAAAAAGGCGGTCGCTGAAGTAACCAAAGCCCGACCAATTAAAGAGAGTTTGTAATTTATGGCCAAGCACCATATCCTCATACCAGAGACCCAGGAGGATACATCCCTCTGAAAGTGGAAAACCAGAGGGTAGAACCACTTCTCAGTGGTTGAAAAAACTCATGGGCAGAACCATGTCCGCATACCAAACTCTCGAGAGGACACATCCCCCTACTTAAGTAAGTACCCAAGTGTGGGGTATAGGTCCAACGGGACATAAAAAATAAGAAACCAATCCTAACAGTAAGAAAAAGGTTCTCCGTATCTCAATGACCCCCGGTTGGTGACACAGACATGAGGGACCTTTAGAGAATACTTAAGAAGCTCCCCTCTTAGAGGATAGCTTCACTGCTTTGGCTACAGTTTCTTAAGGTTACAGCAATGGCAGTATGGCTGAAAGCCAGAGGAATGCACGTAGCAGACACATGCATAAGATGCAACTGGGCGTGGGAAAACGCCCCTCATCTATGAAGATACTGTCCAGATTCAGTGGCCTGCTGGGAATGGTGGAAGGAAAGGTGGAGGCTCCTGGGCCTCCCACCAGAAGATTGGTCAAACGATTTCATCTTGCATGGTAAGTTTGAGACTTCTGGCCCTCCATCAAAAGCCATCCTATATATTGCCCACACTTGCAGGGGTATTATCCTCGAAGCCATATGGTAGCGTAGAAACGATCTCCTCTTAAAGGGCGAAGGAAATGGCCTCAAACATACATTTAACCGTATATTGTCATAAGTTCGGATCACAGTTTTCGGCGAGTGAAAATCCAAAGGCCCGCTCCGTGTGAGCAAGACATAGGCGCTTGAGGACAAATTTGCCAACATCAACAAAGAAGGCAAATTAGAAATTGCGAAGTGGCTGTTGAAAGCATGATCTACAGGCGGTAGAGCCGTTAAGTAGGCTACCGACCGAGTTCTCACGGTTTCACTAAATCCCACTTACGGGATCCTCCACCCTCATCCCGGTTTTCGTCCTTTATGTCTTTTATAATTTATTAGTCCAATTGCTGTTTTTTTTTTTTTTTCCTGAAAGAGGCTTTATGGGACACTGGACCCGGTTTCTAGCACAAGCCTAAGCTGGGTATTGGCCCCAGTTTCTCCTTCGGGTTGAAATGTCGAGGTTTTTCCGGCCTCCTTTTATGATTTGGAAATAAAGCTACCTTTCATCGGAAAAAAAAATAAAAAGAATGGGGGTTTGCCGCACCGCTTGCCAAACGCTAACATTTTAGACACATTTGGACCTATTTTCCATCCCAATACATATTGACTTACCGTGAGGGCACGGGTGCACCCGTAGTTTGTTTGTTGATGTGGATGGGGAAGGGTAAGGTAGTGATTATGCTGTGTGCATGTTTTATCATGTTCGCTATATTCGAGTTGTTTGTGTGTGTGGGTGGGGTCCCAACTGGTGCTTTATTCACGATGTTCATGTGATGCTGGACCCAGTTTCGAGCAGGTGCCCCTTCCCACCAATAGACAGGAGAATGTGTGTATGCGTGAGTGCACGTGTGTATGTGAGAGTGAGTGTGTGTGTGTGTATGAGAGAGAGAGAGAGAGAGAGAGAGAGAGAGAGAGAGAGAGAGAGAGAGAGAGAGAGAGAGAGAGAGAGAGAGAGAGNTTCGAGTTGTTTGTGTGTGTGGGTGGGGTCCCAACTGGTGCTTTATTCACGATGTTCATGTGATGCTGGACCCAGTTTCGAGCAGGTGCCCCTTCAGAACTTTTGGGGGGACAAAAAAAGTGTGTGTGTGTGCACCTGTGTATGTGAGAGTGAGTGTGTGTGTGTGTGTGTGTGTGTGTGAGAGAGAGAGAGAGAGAGAGAGAGAGAGAGAGAGAGAGAGAGAGAGAGAGAGCCCTGTAGCATGCAGCATGCAAGTGGCAGGCGCTGACCTCCGAAAAAAGAATGGAGAAGGTAATGTTCTCTTGGAATAGACTTGTTTTTTTTTTGCAAAATTTGAATACAAAGGGCGCAAGTTGTATTCCGATACAACACACACATGTTCCATTCGATGTGCTCTTCTATTGGAGAAAAGTGGACGACCGCAGCCTCCTCGGCCTCCCATGCTGTTTCTATTTTGAAATGTCCAACTCAAGGACCGCAGCCTCGTCAGCCTCCTACGGGCAGCTACCGGTCCTTGCCCCACCCCTTGCTAAGCCCTCACCTCAAAATTGCCCACCCTCCCGAACGACCACCTACGTCGAAAAGTTGAATTGACGCTGAAGGTTTCAAGGGCAAGTACTGGGGCATTTTGCAACGTTGGACGGTACCCCATATGGGTATATTGCAAAGATGGGATTCCAACCGACTCCAGGGGTATTTCACGAAACATATTTCTTGTCAGAGGGGCATTCCGCTCTACCCTCATCTTTTAGGGGCATTCTGGCATATATCTCAACTTATGAGGGTATTTTGCAAATAGTCCGATGCAGAAAGATACATTTGTGCATTTGGTGAGTGGCGCGGCGAGGCCCCAGGTAATTCGGATGTACTTGTTCCGCTCATCCATCCAGTTGCATATTGTTTCGAACTGGGGTCTCTATTCCAATAGCTCTTGGGTGTGCTGACTGAAATACGGACGCACGTTCCTTGTTGCGGCGGTGTCGACATTTCCGCTTTGGAGCGCTGGCTGGAGAGGAAGGGTGGACAAAGGGTTTTCGCCACGGCGACGGTATTTTCGTTGGCAGCGCGTGTGGGCTGTGTTCAAACAGCCGCAGGTGTGGCGTCTCTCTCTCTCTCTCTCTCTCTCTCTCTCTCTCTCTGTCTCTCTCACAACACACACACACACACACGCACACACACTCCTGCTGAGTCGGTGAAAGTCCGACGAAACAGTCTGGCACAGTGATGCTTTTTTTGAGTGTATAGCGAATGACAACACACACACACACACACACACACACACACACACAGAGGGGTGTTGTACACTGAGAGGCGTGCGGAAGGGGAAGAGTTTCCTTTCACAATCTGGCCAGAAAAAGAAACAGGTGGATTCCGCCGGCGTGGCGAAGTGCAGCCTCTCTCCCTGCCTTCCTCTCTCCGTCTCTCTGTCTGTTTCTCTCTCTCCCTCCCTCCCTCCCTCCTTCCCTCCCTCCCTCCCTCCTTCCCTCCCTCCCTCCCCCTCTCCCTAACTTCCTCTCTCTTTCATCGTTGTGCGTGAAGAGGTGGAGAGTTCCGTTCACACTCGATCTAGAAACGAAATTGGCGGATTCGCCCGACGAGGCGAAGTTCCGCAAGAGGCAAGTTTGCCGGCGTTAAGGTGATGGTGGAGGGGGAGGACGTCGAGGAGGGTCCTGAAGTAAACGGGAGGCGGATGTAATTCGGGGACCCATTTTGTGGAGAAGGGTATGAGCAGCGTGGACTGGGAGGGTGCCGATCAGTATGTGGAATCGCGATGAGGAGAAAGGGTCGGAATGCCAGCCAATCGGGGTGAGGATGTATGACCCGATGAAGTGGAGGATAAAAAACAGGGGGTATGGACTGCAGGTCGTGTGGGGGAGGCAGACAAGGTGGGGAAGAAGAGACTGCAAGGCAGGAAGAGGGAATCAGCGCGGAGGGAGGGGGAAAGGAAAGCTAGTAAGGAAAGGAGAGAGAGCAGAAAAATGACGAAGGGCGTCAATCACGAGAGGGACAGGGTAAATGCGAATATGCCTGAGTGACGGAGAGGGAGGGAGCACAAAGAGGGAACGAACGACAGAAAGAGGAAGAGAGGAAAGGACATAGCAGACCAGGAAGGGCCACATCGAGTATTGGAGGAGTTGGACCTCGACGAGAGAGGATTGCATCTGAGCAAAGAAAGGCACGGAGAAAGAAGGGAACGAGGAGGCGGCCGACGCAGGACAAGTAGAGAAGAGGATGGGAAATTTAAAGCGGATCGGTGGGGGAAAGATCGAGAGGGGCAATGGAGGGCGCATGGGGAAATGCGGAAGGGAGGCACTCAAAAAGGAAGAAAGGGACAATGACGAGTGGGTAGGCGAGAAGGACGGGAAAAGAAAGGTGACCGACACAGGACAAGGAGAGAAGAGGATGGGAAAAGAGAATTGGTGGGGGAAAGACAGGAAGGGGGAATGGTAGGCACAAGCTCTAAGCTGGGATCGGGACAGACGGAAGGGAGGCGGCATTGGAGAAGGGAAAAAGGCGAGTGGGGCGGGGAAAATATGAGTGTGTGTGTGTGTGTCTCTGTGTGTGTGTGTGTGTGTGTGAGAGAGAGAGAGAGAGAGAGAGAGAGAGAGAGAGAGAGAGAGAGAGAGAGAG